CTTCTACTCATACTGTCTTCTTCTTCTTCTTCCTACATATCAACAATTGCTATAATAAAATGACTGCACCTCATAAATTCATTCCACAAATTTCAGCTTCAGAAACCAATTGGTCAGCAAAAGTGATCGTCGCAGGAAAACAATCCCCAAAGACTGCTCGGAATTCCAACAGCCGTTATCAAAATCTTACTCTCATGGATATAGAGGTACAAATATAACTCTCGTTTCAATAAATTTTTACCAATCATTATACCTGTATACTTTCTAAATGTTCTCATCTTGTTTCTTTTTTTGAACAGGGAAACAAAATCACAGCAACAATGTATGATGCCAATATCACTGCACTAAACAATCAGTTCGAATTTAAAAAACATACATTGTGTCAAATGCAACAGTTAAAGATTTCAAAAGTGAATTTCAGAGTTCTCCTGGACAAAAAATGTGGAATATAACAGGAAGAACAAAGGTCGAAGAATTAAATAAAGACAATTTGAATCTCCTGTTCTCAAAATTTGAACTTACTGCGTTTGATCAACTAGAGAGGCATATGGACAAAAATACAGATATAAGTAAGATTTCTACTGCATTACATTTAAACAAATCATTTCATTTAATATTTCATAATTTATTTTTTGCGTACAAATTTATTGCATGCAAAATGACATATAAAATATTTCATAATTAATTATTACGTTGAAAGTTATTGTATGCAAAATGACATAAAACAATTTACGTAACCTTGTAGGCGTGATGGGTGTGCTATAGGTGTTCGACAGAAACGCCTTATTTAACTAACTTTGGTACAGAAACTTATCCACAAGATGTAGTTTTGATAGATAAAGAATTCAAAACTGTTATACTAACATTATGGGATACCTTTGTCGAAAGAGAATGCACTTCAATAATTGAACATCTTCCAAATAGACCCGTGATATGGGCTACAAATCTTAAAGTTTCTTCGTTCAACGGTAAATTTCTCTTACAAATACAGTTCTATCTGTAATATTATTATTATTATTATTTTCATGTAAGATATTCTTAATTTCTTTTGTACAGGCATCACACTTTCGACCAAAGTAAATAACAGTTTTTTCATTAATGTCCAACTACATGCTATTGCGGACTACAGAGAATGGTAATACAACATACCTAATATACATATTGCTTATTTACGTACCTTTAATACAAAAAGACAAAGGTTCTATTTTATAACTAAATATATCATTATTTCTTATAGGGTGGAAGCTAACAAGGAAGCGCTTGACAAACTGACGGAAAATAAACATTTTATTGCTGTTAGCCCACCCAAACTTTCTACTCCTACTGATAATGAATTGACACCGATTGAGGATTTATTAGGGGTGTATCTAACGGTACTTCTATACTAATATAAACTGAATATAATTAATAGAAACACATTATCTTTAATTTCATAGTAAATATTATAGTAACATCACGTATTTTTCTCAGCCGTATCCTTTTATGTAATTACATGAGACATCTCCTTTAGCAGAAGAAATTCTACTGGGTGAATGCACGCTGAAAAATAGTTTCAAAAGACAAAAAATTTGGTATATGTCTTGTAACAACTGCAAGAAAACTTCCAACGCGAACTTTGGAGAAATTCATAAATGTCGATTCTGCAAGTACGAACACTCAAAAGCTATCCCAAGGTAATTTCTTCTATTAAATATAAGTTAAAAAATTTACTAATTATTATTTCAGGAACAAGGTACATAATACATGGCTAAAAAAAATGCATTCTTTAAGGTAAATATTTTTGTACAACTTGAAGACAAATCCGGTTTGTTAGATGCAACCATCATAGGAGATGCAGCAGAAGTGTTACTGAAAAGTAGCGTCAATGACTTAATGAACCATCTTCAAAAGATAAAACATCATGTTCAACATCCTTCGAAAATGCTTTCTTTCTTAAAAACAAACATGCCACTCTATTGAAATATATTTCGTCGACCATAGGGAGGTATTAAAGAACTTAATGACTTTGTCAAATTGGAAAGTGATACAGAGCTACTCTTTTACCTCAAGGCAACAGAAAAGCGCCACGACCCACCTGAGTACTGCTTTGAAATTATATTCGTGTTCAACTCCTCCACGGCAAATCAAGTTGATTCCTCAATTGTTACAGAAGATGTAAACAAGCAAATTGAAATGGAAAAAAATTCCAACAACAAAGATGTAAAAGGCAAGAACAAGGTGTTCGGACTACCTGATGACATTTCCACCGCTACTGAAGAAATCAATCCACCGCATGCAAAAATGTCTTTCTTCTAACCATCAAATGTACCTATTGAAGCAGAGTCAAAACCCAAAAAAAGGACTCACACATGCTCCAAAATCAATGACCGAACCATTGGGAGCACCTCTAAAGAAAAACATGAATGAATAACATCTACGATACTTTTGTGATAGTAGATAGTAATCAATGTTCTATTTTGTATTTTTGGAAAAAGTAACATGATCTGTCTATATCTTTGTCTATGTACAAGACTTCAAATTCCACCGAATAGCAATAAATTACTACTTTTGAAATTTAAAGTTTGTTGTACGCGTCTTACTTTCCTTTTTCTCCTTTCCATTGCAAAAATAGTGAAATATTACTATATTATATCATTCCATTTCAAAATTAATATCATAGCTTACATCCAATGATTTTGTTTTTAACTAATGAATTCACTTTTTCTTTAAACTGTAAGCTGATGTCAACATTAAAAATTAAACAATTTTCAACATTAAAAACGCTAACATAACGTTCAACAGAATCCTGCTCATGCATTGCACGAGCAATAGACTGGTTTGAATAAAAGATCTTACTTGATTTTAAAAGTTTTTTCTTTTATTTATCTTTAAATCCCAATGATAATTATAAAAAAAAATTCCATGTATTGTCTATATAAATGCGTAAATTGAGATTTTATCACTTTATAAAAATATCGAGGTCTCATTCAATACATTTAAATGTAATGTCGGACATATATCCTAATTGATTGTAGCAACAGCCATACAAATATACTCTTAACTTTACTAATCTTAAATCTCATATTTTCGTGACATTTTTCTTCTTGTGTCGTTATATGTAAGAATTGAAAAATAAGAAATAAGATACGTCGCTCGTGCTTTAAAATGAGTTTTTTTTTAAATGAGTTTTGAAATTGTACCGTCTGACAATCATTAAAACAAATTTTTTTTTTCAAACTCATTTTCAATCACACAATTTCACAATATAATATTGTATTAGAGAGAGATGCCCTCAACCTAGTGACAGAAAATTCCACTTGGTGCACACTTTTCTTGGGAGATCTTGTGTTCTTTACTTGATTTTTTCATAATCATTTGTGTGAAAATCAAATCTGCTACTTGGATTTCGAGAATTCTTCCATATTGTTGAAGTTTTATTCGGATTCATTGTGGTTTTCTTGAAAATCTTCAAGGTTCTTTTGGAGTTTGAGGATCTCGGCCACAAGAGCCTCAAATCTTCTTGTTATTGTTCTACTTTTACCCACGAAATTACTTTTACCCATTTCGTGGGTAAAATCCAAATCAGGAACTATTTTCATTTCTGGAATAGGACCGATCCTTGACAAAGGAATCTGTTCTATTCGCATAATCTCTGGATCTGGAAGTGCAAATTTGGATTTCTTCCAATTTTGGTGTAAAGATCCAAATCAGCACTGAATATACATTATTCCTTGCTGTATTCTGCAGGTTCCAGCCAATAGTTTGGGTCGTCGGAGCTAAGGTGGCACCAGAAAGTTGGATTTGGAAAATGGCAAGATTATAGGCTGTCATTGCAATCCGTCAGCCTTTCCATATGGGAAAAAAGACAGAGCAAAAACGGTGGGAGGTTACCAATTGCATTTGGCAATTTACCAAATCAGGATCGTATGTTACTGAATACTACCTTAAGTCAAGGGAAATTTCCAGCACTTCAAAAATTCTGGAAGATTACCAAGTGTGGCTCAATCAAGTAAGTTTCTAGCACAAGGAAAAGACGGTGATGGATCTTCATCCAACCCCATGGATTATGACAAGGCATTCTAGCAGGAATTTGACCACGCAAATTCAAACTCCCCAAGTTTGTCTCAGACAGTTGGTGATGAAGATACAGTTTTGGAGGACGGATCTACTGCAGTCTAGCAAACTAACACTTCAGCCCAAGGAAATGAATTCGATAACACTAAGGCACCGTTGGCAAGTTTATTCAAGGAGAACCGTAAGCGTGAGGACGGATTCAAGCTCAAAAGCTGCCAGATGTATTGGTTTTTGAGGAAGCTGATATTGAAGATGATCAAACAACTTGGGGTTACTGCATGGTGGGATATTTTCCTGGACGTTTCCCAGGTAAAACAGCCCTCTTGTAGATGTGTGATCAATGGTGCGTCAAGTACCAATACTTTGTCCATCAAAGTGGATGGCTTGTGTTCAAGTTTGAGAATGCTGATGATAGAACACAAGTGCTGGAAGGAGGCCCTTATTTTGTGTATGGGCGACCACTGATGTTGAAACATGTCCCACCATTTTTTGAGTTTGATGATAATGATATCAGCACTATGCCAGTATCGATAATATTACTAGGCGCTGCCATTGAATTTTTGGACGCCAAACGCGCTGAGCATGATTGCAACGAAGATTGGAAAACTGGTCACAACTGATTTGCTCATACCTACAAAGGGCCGGTTATCATTTGCACAAATTCTCGTTGAGGTCGACGCATCAAAGGACCTAGTCCGTTCAGTAAAGATAAAACTCCCAAATGGTAAAATAAGGGAGCAAGTGGTTTATTACGTGCATGAAACGAAATTCTGTTGCACTTGTAAGACATTTGGGCATAAAACAGATGCATGCAAACTGAGAGCTGGAACTACTGGCCACAAGCATACATTTTTCCCTAAGTATGCTGCAAAAAAGACTGACCAGAACATTGCTGAGGATTCGAGTAAATTAGCTGTAGACGGGCATAACATTCTAGGGGCGGACGCAGGTGCTCATGACCAGAACATTGCTGAGGATTCGAGTAAATTAGCTGTAGACGGGCATAACATTCTAGGGGTCCGAGTCCATTAACTGTAGACGGGCAGAACATTGCTGCAAACTTGAATAAGGAAACATCAGAACAGAACATTACTGGGGGCACTAGTCAATTAGCTGTAGACAATCAGAACACTACTGAAAACTCGAATAAGGCAACAACAGAACAGACCTGTTCGCTGGAAGCAACCAAATCAGGGTAGATTCGATTGGACAGAACGTTTATGAATCTGGCAAAGCAGACGCCAATACAAAACCAGGTGCTCTAGTTGATCAAAATGAGGATGATACCCCTTTTCTTAAAGTGGGTAGGAAGAATAAATCGGTGAATACAACCAAAGGTTCGATCGTAAATCTTGAAGTCCCAAAAAGGAAGACAGCAAGTAGTGATAAGTTTAAAGGAAATCTTGATGGTCAACTCGCTAAACAACCGAAGAAGAATAAAAAGAGGGGGAATGCCTTCTTTATATCATCATGAAGATTGCGTCGTGGAACATTAGGGGCTTCAATATGCCCTTAAAATAAAATGGGGTTTATCACCTCATTAAGCAAGAATGCATTGATGTTATTGGTGTTCTAGAGACAAAAATCAACCAGTAAAAGTTAGCTCAGATCTTGAGGAATAAATTTTGTGGATGGAGTCATATCGACAACTTTCCTTCACATCCGGCAAGGAGAATATTGATCCTATGGGACCACACAAAAGTCAACCTGTGTGTTTTGGAAGCTGCCCCACAGGTTATACATTGCGAAGACACCTGCAAGGTAACTTCTATCGTATTTTGTTTGAATTTTGTATATGGTTTCCATTCTATTGTTACTCGGAGGCCATTATGGAATAACTTGATTGATTTTGGAGCTACATGTTCGATACCTTGGACAGTATTGGGCGAATTTAACAGTACTTCCACCCGAGGAAAAATGTAATGGAGCGGAAGTGACTCCATACGAGACTAGGGATTTTGCAGATTGTTGTTTAACTGTAGGTCTTACAGACTTGTGATCCATTGGATGCTATTACACTTGGTCGAAAAACTCAAAAGGCAGTATACCTTCAATTTGGAGCAAGCTCGATAGAGCTATGGTTAATGGACTCTGGCAACAGGCGGGGATATATGCCTTAGCAAATTACCAACCAGCAGGTTGCCTTTCCGATCATTTGCCACGCATTGTATCGCTTTTCCAACAAGGAGGAGGCAGAGGCAGAGGCAGAGGCAGAGGCAAACATTTTAAATTCTTCAATATGTTGACGGATCACTCTGATTTTCAAAATGTAGTTTCTTCTAGTTGGAATCAACCAATCTACGGAACGAAACAATTCAATCAATGCAAAAAGTTACAAAGGCTAAAGGAAAATCTGAAGCAGCTCAATACAAGCACTTTACTCACATTTCTGCAAAGGCTGGGAAAGCTAGAAATGATCTAAAAGCAACACAAATGGAGCTACATGATCTACCAATGAACATTGAGTTGCTAAGTAAGGTTGCACTCTTGTAAAAGCAAGCTGTGGGTCTGTGATACAGAGAGAAGCTTTTACTATCAACATGCCAAATGTGTTTATTTGACCAAGAGTGATAAATGTACAAAATTCTTCCACTTTTTTATCAAAAGGAATGCAAAGAGAAACTTTATTGCTGTCATAATGAAAGGGGATGGGACATCTATGAGCTCCTTAGTAGAGGTGGAGGATGAATTTCTAGGCTACTATCAAATCCTACTTGAGACAAATCATGCATGTGATCCCATTGGTTGGAACATTTTACGTGAAGGACCATCACTTTTTTCGGAACAGGCAGATTTCCTCGTTAGGGATATCTCTCCACAAGAGATTAAAGATGCTTTGTTTAACATCGGAGATGAGAAATCCCCTGGGCCATATTTATACAGTTCGTGCTTCTTTAAGAAAGCTAGGGAGACGATTGAGGGAGATTTTGTTGATGCTATCACTGAATTCTTTGATATTGGTTCACTCCTCAAACAAATTAATCATACCGTGATAGCCTTGATTCCGAAGAGAAGTCATGCATCCACAGTTGGGATTTCAGACCTATTTCGTGCTGCAATGTGGTCTAAAAGACCATTACCAAAATCCTATCCAATAGATTGGCACCTATCCTTGGCTCCATCATTGACAATGCGTAGGCGGCTTTTGTGAGGGGGGGGAGCTTGGTCAAGAATGTCCATCTTGTACAGGAACTATTGAAGCAATGCAATTGGAACAGAGTATCACCTAGATGCCTACTCAAGATTGATTTCAGAAAGGCATATGACTCCATCTATTGGGAATTTCTGAAATCTGTTTTGGAGGGATTCGAGTTTCCAAACAAATTCATACTATGGGTGATGGCATGCATATCAACTCCCTCGTTCTTGATTGCAATTAATGGCAGCATGCATGGATTTTTCAAAGGTAAAATGGGCTTACGACAAGGTGATCCCTCATCACCTTTCTTATTTGTGATCTATCTTGAATATCTTTCAAGAGCTTTGAAAGCGGCTACCAACAACACCGACTTTGATTATCATCCGAAGTGTGGGCCATTGAAAATCACACATCTTGCATTCGCAGATGACCTGATGTTGTTTGCTAGAGGCGACATTATATCGGTGCGTATACTGATTAAGCCCTAGTTTGAACCCCATTATTTCTCATTACATTAAATTAAAATTTTCTCTCTTCTACTTTTAACCACACAATCTTCAATAAAATAATATTACACATAAATAAAAAACTTTTTAACCACTCATTTTTCAAAAAAAATACTATTCATCTCATTATAATCTACAAATAATGGGGCTTAAACGACCCCTAATTGTTTATCCAAGTTTGGAAATTGCTCGGGGCTGAGGATGAATGCAAGTAAATCCAACATATTTACAGCCGAAATTCAAGGCCAAGACTTGGATGACATCCAAGAATTGGTAAACATGTCGAGGAGATCCATGCTGTTAAGATATTTGGGGGTTCCATTAGTTGCTAAAAAATTGAAAGTCAGCCACTATGCCTCTTTCTTCAATAAGATAGATGTATATATACACGCCTGGACGAGCTCATCATTATCCTACGCAGGTAGGGCTGAACTAATAAGATCAATCTCGCAAGGTGTTAAATGCTTCTGGTTATCCATATTCTCGATACCTGCTGCAGTCAGTTTGAGGATCACACGGCTTTGTAGGAATTTTCTTTGGAAATCCAAAAAATTGGTGGTTGCATGGTCAAAAGTTTGCCTCCCCAAAAGCGTGGTGGACTTGGATTGCGAGGTATAAAACGCTGGAACAATGCACTACTAGCTAAGTCGGTGTGGAACATACATGCTAAGAAGGACACACTTTGGATGCGATGGACCAATCACGTGTATTTGAGAGGGACATCAATATGGGAAAGGTCCCCTAAAAAGGATGACTTACCACTATTCAAAAAGATACTGTCCATTGCGCATTGCTTGAAAGAAATTGAAGGATCAAATCACGCTACATGCCAAAGAATTTCAAGCTGGATCCAAGGAGACAATATATGCATTACTAAAGCTTATGATTATTTTCGACCAAAGAGGACGCCAACTATTTGGGCAAATGTTGTTTGGAGTTCATGCATCAACCCAAAACATCCACTCATACTTTGGTTTAGTGTGAAAACCAAGTTCCTAGGCAAAGATCGACTACAACGCATGGAGATCGACAACAGATGCGTATTTTGTCAAGTTGCAACAGAATCCGTCCAGCATCTTTTCTTCCAATGTCGCATGAGCACAGAAATTTGGGGACAGATAAGAGCCTGGCTCTGGATCACTAGAGCCATGACTACATTATCAAGTGCTCTGAAATGGATAGAGAATGAGGGAAAAAGTGACTTCTTGGCAATTTAAAGCCAAGAAATAAGCGTTTGCAAACACTGTTTATTATATTTGGACAGCTAGAAACGGGCTAATCTTTGAAAATCTCAGGCAGCATCCCGATAGCATCGTTAGATGCATTAAAACTCATGTATACAAAGTCATGTTTTCTTTGTATCCTCATGTTTTGCATCATTATGAATAATTAGCATTGGGCATCTAGATTGATATCCAAGGTATGCATTGTTGAATAATGTAAGCTCGGGAATGCCCGGAGTACTTGTACATGAGTTTTTTATCAATGAATTTTTATATTTAAGAATAAAAAAAATATTGTACACGTAAATTCAAAAATTTTCCTATTTTTTAATTACATATTCTATAAAAAAATCACCATTTCAAAATTAATTTTCCTCGAAAACTTATTTTAATGATTATTAAACAAGGGCTTACTAATGACTTCAATATCATTGAACACAAAAAATCTACCCTTTCAAGTGTTTAGTGATTTTCTCGTGTTTTTGCATTCTTTTAACATTATTTCACTATGGCCACAATCAAAAGTTTTTATCAATTTGTAAACATCAAGATACAAAAGAAAAGTATGTTAGGATTAAGTCAAACTTTCATTTCAACAATACATTAGGATTCATAATTAGTACTTATCCACTACTTATTTCTATCGAAATACAATTTCATTAACTTATAATGCAATCCAAACCAGCACTATAGTATTAAACCTATACAGTGGTTTAATTAATGTTATTATGCGAAAATCGTATTTGTTAATTTGAGAAACAAAAGTTTTTGAGCTACACACTTCGAAGAAAAGTCGACAGATTTAAGTATATCGAAAATCATGTCCCTGTACCTATTACTGCGTATTTAGCCCTCGTTTGGCCCCATTATTTGGATTTATAATGGAGGAATAGTGTTTTTTTGAAAAATGGGTGGTTGTAAAGGAATGGTAAGTTTTCGATTTGTATGAAATATTATTTTATAGAATATTGTGTTGTTGAAAATAAAATAGAAAATTTAAATTAAATTGATGAGTTTTAAAGGGGGTCAAACGGAGGCTTATTTCTA